TGAAGGTGATCAACTTATCAGTATAAACAAAGTGGAAAGTTTTATATGTACAAGTTAAAATTAAGATCGTAAAAACGGTTTCACCCAAAATATTTTAAATGCATGAGCAGAGTGGGCGGTGTGATTTGGACATTCATTCAAACAAGTACTTGCCGACTCAGAGACAAGCCACTGACCCAAAGCCTCTTCCTGTCTCTCTTTGCTCTTGACCTTGGCCAAGCCATCCACCTTGAGTGGCTCACTAGGGCTCTTCATGGGTTTTGTCTCAAGAGTTAAGTGAGGTAAACCTTCACAGTCATCTGACACCCAGCAGGGGCCCAATAAGGAGTAGCTGCTGTTACATACTCACTTTTTCAGTAAGCATTAATGATGTCCCTGTTGTATACTGGCATGAGGAGAAAGTGAGAAGATGGAGGGCTCCTAGAAGTACCAGAGGCCATCAGAATGGCCTGCGCAGGACCAGTTTCTCAGAATGACTCCCTTCAGCCCAGAGAGGGAAAGTGGTTTGCCTGAGGTCACACAGTGAGTTAATGGTAGAGACCAGGCTATATATAATCCAGGTGTCCTGTTCTGAGGAGAGCTAGGAAGGACTTCCAGGGAAAATGGAAATGAGAAGATTGCTAGGAAATCCTCAAAAGAGTTTCAGGTACAGCACACCTTGAACTCAGATTGGGTTTGAATCCTGATTCTTATCACTCATTTTCTGGGAGGCCTTGAGCCATTAAGTTCACCTCTCTGATCCTCAGTATCCACATCTGAGGAGTGAGGATAGTTTTCCTTTCTTCCCTCACCTGGCAGAGAATAAAGGAGACTCATACGAGTTAGCTGCGTAACAGACACAGTGTCGATGATGATGATATCAATATTGATATTCCGTGGCCAGGTAGAGCTCAGCAATCCCATGGTCCATCTTTCCCTCTCTGACAGCACTATAGCTAACATTCATAAAGCACCCACTATGTGCCTGGCTCTGCTAAGTACTCCCATGCATTCTCTCCTCTCGTAACAGCAGCTCTGAGGCCAATGCTCACACTTCTGGCCTTTCCAGGTAAGGAAGCCGAGACACCGAGGGGGTCATTGCCCAGTCATACAGCTGGCTAGTGTGCAGCAGGGGACCTGAGTAGAGGTGGTCCAGCCTTGAGCCATGACTGTGGGTCACCCACTAAGCTCTCTTGCTTCATTAGAGGGGGAAGTCGGCTGGGGTGCAGGGCAGCTGGAGGCAGGTGATGCTGGGGACTGGCTGTCCAAGGAGCCCGTGTCTGACTGAAGCTCTGAGCCTTGCTGGGAACATGGGCAGGAGAGTCAGTGCTGCTGACCGTTATGTCCCCACAGCCGCGGTGGAGGCCTGCATCCTGCATGGGCTGAGGCGGCGGGCAGCTGGCTTCCTGCGCAGCAACAAGATCGCGGCTCTCTTCATGAAGGTGGGCAAGAGCTTTCCGCCGGCCGAGGAGCTGAGCCGCAAAGTCCAGGACCTGGAGCAGCTGATCGAGAGCACGTGAGTGTGGGGACCAGGCTGGTCAGTCCCCTGGAGAGTGACCCCCAGTCCCTTCAGGAATCCACAGCCCCTGCTACTGTTTCTGCTCCTCAGACCCACCAGCCTCTTTCTACCTCAGGGCCTTGGCACATACTGTACCTCCAGCAGGCTCCCCGACTTGGTCTTCCATGGCTGTTTCTTGTCATCATTCAGAATTCCCCAGCTCAGTCACTGCCAGCCCTCACCCCATCTTCTCCTCCACATCACCTGGTTACTTCCTTCCCATTTGTTCCTGCCATTGGGAATTAGCTATTTCTTGTTTAATTGTGAACTTGATCGTCATCTCTGCATGAGAAATGGCAGCTACATGCATGCCACCCTATTGTGTCCCCAGCATCTGGGACAGTGTCTAGCACCTGGAACATGCCCAGGAAACAGGTGGTGCTGGGCCACACCCTGTTCTCAATGCAAAGTTTCATAGAATCAACATGTTCGCATCTGCAAGGGGCAGCTGCTGGAGCCACTGGGTAAAACCCTTTTTTGAGGCATCCATTGAAGGGGGAGGAGTGTCACTCCCCTGTCGTGGTGACTGGTTAATGAGCTGGGGAGGTTTATAGACTGACTGTGTCACATGGTCCCTGTTGCCATAATCACCCCCTCAAGTCCTGAATTCACAGCCAAACCCCCAACTTGGGGCCTGGTTAGGGGTGGCAAATAGGTTTCGCTCCAGTTGTGCCTGGGGCTCCCAGAGACTGCAATGAAGGACTCTGAAGCCGTGATTGGGCATCCTGGGAAAATGTGTGTGGATTGATTGGCCATGTCTGTCACATGCAAGGGAAGGGAAGGGGAGAGATAAACATACTCTTTGTTTGTCAGTTCTCTGTTACTGTGACAAAATACCTCTCATAATTAATTAACTTAAAAAGAGGAAAAGTTGACTTTGGCTCACAGTTTGAGAGGGTGTTTTTGATGATCAGTGGGCCCTGTTACTGGGCCTATGGTGCGATAGCTGTTCACTTTATGGCCAGGATGCAAAAAAAAAAAAAAAAATTTAAAGGAGGAAGGAAGAGATCCACATCTCACAGGGCCGCTTGAGGGCGCTCCCTAATAACCTAAAACCTCCCACTAAAGGTTCCACCTCCTCCCTGTAGCCCCAGGCTGAGGGGGAAGGCTTTGACACATGGACCTCTGGGGAGCATTTCAGATCCAAACTCCAGCATGCCCTAAGGTTGCCATCTCTGTGTAGGCTACACTCCACTGAAGGAGAAACGGCCCCCCTTTTGCTCTTACCCTTCAGGCCCTGCCTGTCCAGGGCTGCTCCATAACTGAATGGTGGGCAGAGCTCATGACTGGGCTTTGCCAGCTCCATTTGGAATGACTTCTTAGGCACCTTTAGGTT